AAAAAAAAAAAAAAAACTGAATGCTGTTCTACTTTTAATATCCTCCCACTAAGGCGCAATATTGGAATGGTTTTCAGTCTTGCTGGCAGCTTGGTTTAATGGAAGGAGTTGCATGGTGGCCCCACCATTTAAGAGTTGTTTACCTCAACTTTCCACAGTCTGTGGAATGAAGGTACTTGCCCTGTGCTTTGGTTTTATTTTATTCAGCAATTCATTCAACAGTTATTTTTTGAGCACCACAGTGTGCCAAGCACTACTCTAGGTACTAGAAATGCAGTGGTGAATGAGTCAGTCGAAGATCCTGTTTTCATTCACTCGAAATGGAGTCATCAGAATTCTCTGGGATATGCGGCAAGAATGTGGGAGAGATGGGTATTATTGGAGGAAGGAAGGAGGGAGGAAAGAAAGATACTTGGTGTTCACCAACTTCACAATTCTGCCCTCACCCGCTAGCCCTTGTTTTGGGAATCACAAGCTAGAAGTTTCTCACCCTTCATCTGGTATTTAATTGGTATTTAATTTCATTCAGTTGCTTCAAAGGCCTAATCCCTCCCCATCCCCCATCCCACCCTTCACAGGACATTTGTCCGGAAATCCAACCATCCTCAGGTGGAAAGAGGTGCAGCTTCCTCATTCTCTATTCACGTCTTAACGATCAGCTGCCTTTCTGAATCAGGAGATAACTTTGTCATTCTTTTCCAACTGAAAAAACATGACTCATCAATTGGTACGGCAGCTGGATGGCTTAAATGCCAGGCTGTTGTTCTGAACAGCCAGGTCCGCAATTCAGGCAGTAGAGGGAAGGCCGTGGGGAGTGGCCGAGAAGTCTCTAAAGAGAAGAGCTTGATGTTCACTGATGGATTGAGTGTTGTGAGAGCACTGAAGCCAGGCCATCCATTTCTTCTTCTAATGTAAGTCTCATCTAAGTCATTCTTCTCTTTTCTTTCTTCCGTGGTTTCTGGAGGAAGTGAAATTGGACGTATACAGAAGTCTAGGCAGTATAATAAAGAAAAACAGCTGAGATAATGCCTAACTGTGTTGGAACATTTAAGAAAGGACAGCTCTGGGACTTGGGAACGTGGGAAGGACCTGGGCTCAGCTGGTTGGGGCTATCAGTCTGATCAGCAGGACTGTTTCTTGTTGATTTTAGACCTGATTTGATAAAATGGAGCTTCTGAGCACCTTTAAAGAATCTGTAAGTAATAGTTTGCCTGAAATTCTTTGAGCCAACGACCTGAGACAGTTTGATCCAGTGAAAGGCTCAGGCATTAGAATGAGGAAACCAGAGCATTCTCTTACCTGAGGCCTGTTTTTACTAAACCTCAGTTTTCTCCTCTGTAAAACAGGACTAATCATTCTCCTCTCACAGGACTGTTGTACGAATTAAATGAGGTTAAAGAATGAGATCAGAGAAGCCTGCTTTGTGTACTCTGGATAGCACTATGAGGATGAATCAATACGTAGGGGTGGAGGTACACTTGGTGTGATTTGGGGTTTCCTACATGGCAGAAGTCACTTTTCCCTACTAAACTTTCACCAGTAATGTTTGAAGGGCCCTTAGGTAGTGTTGCACAAGTTCTTTCCTCACTCCTTTCAGTGTGGGTCTCCTTGGAGTCACACCTCTCTTCAGTTTGGTTCTTGGTGTCAATGAAGAGTGTTTTAAGGACAGAAAGTGAAACCAGTCTCATATGATGGTAGATTTGGGGCCTGGGCCACTCAGTGGGATGATGGAGTGCTGACCCAGCAGTCACAACACCCAAAGCCGCCTTCTGATTCCAACAGTGAGGTCCTTATGTCATTGACGGTCAGGGTCCTGCCTGCTTGAGCCCTGTTCCACAGAGCAGGATGCTTTGGCTTCCTACAAAGAGAAGTGTCCCGAATTGTGGCCTGAACCCCAAAGTCTCAGTCCTATTTTGTGAAACATCACGTGCCTGTTCTCCTGGATCCCTCTGAGCTGTTTTCAGTCATTTTGTCTCTTTTCTGACACTTGTCTCTTATCTGGCCCTGCCCTGACCTCTCTTAGCTTCAGTTTACTTTGTTTTTTTAGCAGACTGTTACTTGGCCAGAGCACCCACTTACTGATGCCCCCATACATGAGTATTACTCTCAGATAATTAGTTAGTGAGGCGTAATGGGCCCAGGCTAGTAATCAGATTGTTGTGCTCTAAGCCCTTAGGGTCCTGACCTTATAGCTGGTTTAGGGATGGGCAACTTTGGAGCTTCAGGGTTCTGTCTATAAGGACAGCCTGAGGGAGAGGCCTTAGGCTGCTAGAATTGTGGCTTGGGATCAAAGCCCAGGATTTTGGAGCCAAAGAAGCTGAACTTGGCATGCTGGGCTGCACAAGGTTAGCCTTGAAGGAGCCCAAGCTCAGGACCAGGCATGTTTCTGGGAGTGACTGTTTGACTGAAGCACACGCCCCTTTTCTTGCCATCTTAGTGGCCTAGTATGGAGCTGATCTCGAGAGAGGAGGGCCCTCAGAATCCCCAGGGAGCTGGGAGCAGAGAATGTGGTGAAGGGTGGGACAGTCACACAGGGGCTACACCTGGGCTGAGGACCTTCCTGGGGGTCTGCGGCACCCTGACTGGAGCTGGGTCTACAGGGGCCACCCTCCCTCCACACACGCCTGCTTCCCTGTGTGGGGCCTGAACTAGGGCAGTCGGCTCTGGGTCCCCTTTGTCCTCTGCCAATTCCAGAGGCCACAGATTGTATCAGAGTACCTTCTACCTTCCGCCACCCAGGGCCAGCCTGCCTCTCCTTTCCAAACCACGTGCTCCAGTGCTCTCCTGGAAATCTTTCCTGCCAGGCTGGCCTAATGTTCCCCTGCACCCCCTTCCCTGGGCCCCCAGCCCTGGTATCTTAGGAAGTTCCTCCACCTGAGTCAGCATCCCTTTCTTTATCTGTCCCATGGAGATAATAAAACAGCACTC